ATTATTAACATTAACATAGATCACTGCAAATAAAAAAATACACAAGTCAGAATTGTGAGAAATAGTTGCAATTGTGAGATATGAGGTTGCAATTATGAGAAAAAAAGACAGAATTGAGACTTCTTATCTTTATAACACATAATTGCGAGTTTATATCTCGAAATTCTGACATCATTTCTCAGAATTGTGAGATATAATAACACAGTCTCATCCCAAAAAGTCATATAACTGACGTTTTGGGATGTATTTTGACCATACGTCAATATCCGCCTTTTTAGGGCCCCCTTAAACGTCGCTAGATGGCGATCCCGGGCCGTCATACAACTGACGCTTTACCTTTAACGTCAGGTAGGTGACGGGTTAGGTTTAGGGTTAGGTTTAGGTATGGGGTAGAGTTAGGATCCATAACCTCATCTACCGACGTTTAAGGGGGCCCTAAAAAGGCGAATATTGACGTATGGTCAAAAGACGTCCCAAAACGTCAGTTATATGACGTCTTGGGATGAGACCGGGTTGGATATAAACTTGAGTTATCAGGCCAATATAAGGGAAAAAAACTTTTTCCCCTCAGAATAGTTTATATCACACAATTCTGACTTTATATCAATCAATTTGGACTTTATATCACGCAATTCTGACTTTATATATCTTACAATTCTGACTTTATATCAATCAATTTTGACTTTATATCTCACAATTCTGACTTTTTATCTCACAATTCTCACTTTATATCTCACAATTCTGACTTTATATCAATCAATTTGGACTTTATATCACGCAATTCTGACTTTATATATCTCACAATTCTGACTTTATATCTCACAATTCTGACTTTATATCTCACAATTCTCACTTTATATCTCACAATTCTGACTTTATATCAATCAATTTGGACTTTATATCACGCAATTCTGACTTTATATATCTCACAATTCTGACTTTATATCTCACAATTCTGACTTTTTATCTCACAATTCTGACTTTTTATCTCTCAATTCTGACTTTATATCTCGAAATTCTGACTTTATATCTCACAATTCTGACTTTATATCTCACAATTCTGACTTTACATCTCACAATTCTCACTTTATATCTCGTAATTCTGACTTTATATCTCGCAATTGTGAGAAAAAAAGTCCGAATTGTGAGACAAAAAGTTGCAGTTACCTTTTTTATTTTTCATTCTGTGGCGGAAACAAGCTTAATTCATAAAATTGAAACTAAATAAAACTATATAAAAACTAAATTCATAAAATGATCCCCTGATGGAACGCCCATAAGCGCCAGATGGAACCTCTAAGCTTCTATATAGAACCTTTTCGTCTAAGACTGACAGTTCATAGATGCCATGGGAAGACATCATTGATATAATTATTGTGAGGTCAGGCCTACTTGTTAAGGTGTCTCCACTGAGGCTTGTGGTGCGGGTTGGGAATCCATGTGACCACTGGACACGGTGGAAACTCAGAGCAGCTCGTGAAAGGACTGATGTAAACAGTATTTAACTGCAAAAACAAGTCATAATTTAATACTCATTCTACACCGACAGACACTGATCAATCAGACTAGAGGACATCACTTCTCTCCACAAGTGCCAAAAATGAAAATGCATATAAGTCTCCACATACCTTTATTTTGTTTTGTGTATCAGTGAGTGTGCTGGAAATGGATTCTGGGAAGGAAAGATCTGCCCTGCCAGAAAATAACCATACCAAAGATGGAATAATAACAGTTTTGATGACTAATATACTAATGCGATGACATATTAGACTCACCTCTTGATCTTTCCAGTGTCTTCTGTCTGTATGGGGAGATCAGTCAGAGATTCCTCACTGTATGATAGCCTTTCTTTACTCGCTCTCCTCCGTCCAGCCCATTCAGAGACATTGACAACACTCAGAGATGGAAAGATATCTGTTGGTGTTACAAGAAGGCCAAATAACATCATGGCATTATACAAGCACAATTCTGTTGAATAGGAGCATATGTGACACAGAAATCACAGGCATTCAGTGAATTCCAGTGAGAAAGTAGATGTGCAGAATTGATTAGAAATGCAACGCAAACACACCGTCTTTGGGAGAGCATCTCTGGACGCGTGCTGGAGTGTGGCGTGTGATTCCTCGGCGCTCAGTGTCCCAGCGGCACGGGTGCGAACACAGCGGCCGGAAACAGTGAGCTCCATACACATCACTGAAACACCAGGGCAAAGACATCAGCTTTCAACTAAATACAACCTGACCACATCTCAGACATTTTACATCAGGTTTTTATATGCATTTAATGTAATTTGATGTATTTGATTTTTCTTATATATTATAGTCTATAGATATTATATTTTATATAATATGATATAAATATTTCTATATTTGTTTTCAAAGAACTGCATCCAATCTGATGAGGTTTTATATAAGTTTTCTATATGCATTTTATGAATTTTCATGTATTTAAGTAATATTATATATTTCTTGATGAGTTTAAGTCTATAAATATTAAATATTATATTTTATATAATATGATATTTCTATATTTGTTTTCAAAGAACTGCATCCAATCTGATCGGATCTGAGAGATTTTATATGAGTTTTTGAATATGCATTATTTTATATAATATTATATATTTCTTAATGAGTTTTAGGTTATAAATATTATATTTTATATAATAGAATACAAGATTATATTATATATTTTCTGAGTGTTCAAAGATTTTTAGCATATATTAACTATTCTTCTATAGCCAATAAAATATTAAATTTACATTTATTCATTTAGCAGACACTTTTATCCAAAGCGTCTCAACAGTGTTCGCCAACAGCGTCTCGGTCATAGTGAAACTGTAAGTTTATCTGCTTCAAGAACAGAGCGTTATTACATCGCTAGGGAGAAATGTCATAAAGATTTTAAGTTGCTAAACTACTAACTAACTAACTAAAAAAAAAAAACATGAAAATAATGTGCCGTTTTTATCCTATTTTTTACTATATGTATGTACTTGGTCAGTGTTGTTTGAGTTTTCCACACACACTTATCCAAACCAAGGTGAGAACCACGGTCAGCCAACCAGAATCAAGTATTCAACTGCCCCATAGTATAATATTACATAATGTCAAATATTTCTAAGTGAGTTTTAGCCAATACATATTAAATAGTATATTTTATATTATAGAATACAAGATTAGCCTATTATATATTTTCTGTGACTGTTCAAACTATTTCTAGCCCATAAAATATTACACTCTAAAAATGAGGGGATGTTTCAACCCATGTTTGGGTCAAATATGGACAAACCCAACCGTAAAAATTGTATTACAAAAATTAAACAATTTGGTTGGGTTACTCCATTTTTGACCCCAAAAAAGTTTGAAACAATGTATTAGTTGGCCTGAGATACATCCAAAATGACCCCACCGCAGGCTTTTATTAATTTAGTTAGGCTACTGAATAAAATGAAAATGTGATGATTATTAAACAAAACCATAATCCCACAACTCTCTATGTTTAGTTTATTTGTTTTCTTTTTAAATGGATTTGTAAAGCAGAAACTGAATTGGACTGATATTGAATTTAATACGTTCTTGTTATTTGTTCCAATTCAAAGCAGGCACTACGCACAAACATGAAATGCTCTTTTAAACACTTACCTCATTTGCTAAAAAAAAAAAAATGAAATAAAATAAAAAAATCACAGTTCATACTCGCAGTCGTTAACGGACGTGTGTCTCTCTGGTCTCTCTCTCTGCTTGTGCAAAGTTTGGTTGCCTAGCAGCAGCAGGTCACGGGGCTACTTTCACTTTCCGCGCTCTAATGCAAATCGGATTGCATTAACTATTTAAATCATTTAATTATTTAAATTATTTAAATATACTACTATGGTATTTGATATGAAAACCAAACTTAATACAAGCTGTAATACAAATTAAGAAGATTCGTTCAGGTTCATCCATTATGACGTACGCAGATTTCCGCCAATCAAACATGGTAATTTCTCATGAAAATATAAATAATAGACCTTATTCAGAGCAGCGCCATGACAGGTATGAAAGTGAGGCTGTGAGGGATAGACTTACCATGTTTCCAATGGCATCCGCTGTAAAAAGCTGAATAAAGCGGCTAGATTGTTTACAATTTTCCACAGCTTACATTGTCGGGAGTTTTTTGTCAACTGACATTTCTTGGAAAGATATTTTTCCAGTGTTTCATGAGCAGAACAATCCGAAAACACATTAAATAACAGTTCAGCCCATTGAAGAGATGCAAGTCTATCCACAGCCTCGCTATCATTCTCATTAAAAATCAAAGATGGCGCTGCCGTGAATAAGGCGTATAAGATAAAATATTACGACATAAATGATAATTAAAGTACAATTATTACAAATAGGCCTACATGGATATTATGCAAACATAAATCATAAAATTGTTTATATATTATAATTTTATTATAAATTATAATATTATGTAGCCTATTATTCACTGATTATTTTAGATTTTCCAAATTAGCTTTTATGACTATTTTTTTCGCGCTGTTTTTTAATTCGAGTTTTTAACATTTAACGGGTATATAAAGATAAAAAATACAAAAAACACACAATCCAATAAATAAAATAAAAACTTTTTTGTAATGCTTGAAGAAGAAAAACAAACAAACAAACAAACAAACATTAACAACAATTATCATCATTATCATAACATAATACAACAATACTCCATAGTCGCTCGGTATTTCAGTCCAGATTAATTCTATTATTTATTTTTTTCACTTCAGAGTTCCTTTGTGTGTGTGTGTGTGTGTGTGTGTAACTATTTTAACAAACGTAAAAACACACAAAAAAAACATGCAAACTTTCAGACAATAAACATGTTATGGTTCAAAAGTTACCAAGAAAAATAATATAAAGAAACCTTATTTATCTATTAAAATTATTTGTCAGTCCAGATTAATAAAAAAACAACAACAACAACTTTGATTTGAGTAAGTGGAAGTGCTGAGTGACGTAAGCGCGCGTGATCATGTGGCGGGTCAGCTGACATCAGCAGAACCAGGAAGCGACTTGGAAAGGATTTTTATATGTTAATATTTACTCACCGCATGCAGGCGATCATTACTTCATATCTGTAACATAAGTAGCGTTAGCGACGCGCGGTGTGAAGATCAGCCACAGGCATGTTTGCAACAGACGACGAGGACGGAGACTTTCTGTCTCCCACTGGAGGGTGAGTGAATTCCTGACGGACAAAGACACAATCATGCAGGCGAAAGTCTCCAGGAAAACACAAGTCACCTTATTTATCTAAATAAAGCTTATTTAGATGTTTAGACCGGACAACGGGAAACAACGGTGCAATAGAAACCGAAAGTGAAGTGTCACTCATTGGCTATTAATATAGCAAATATATTGCAGCTTTCTTATGGATGACAGGAACTTTTTGGGCGACTAAAGTACATTAACAGACTAGTGAACCGTTAGTTGTGTTAATAAAACAACGAGCAACTACTTAAACATTCATCACTTGAATGTTACTTTGTTCTGGCATGAGTTCCTTGATCACATGATGTCTGATCTGTTAACTGTCATGCTGAAGGTAGGCTAACTCTCGGTTTGGGAAGTTCAGCTTCACTAAAATCATCTCAGCTTATGAAGTTATATAGGTTATATTGTGAACCCCCAAATCTCACAGCCTGAGCCCACTGAAGGACCACTAGTGGACCCAAAAACATCACTAAACACCATAAAGCATTAAACCACCCTTATTGTTTCAGTGGGATTGCATTATACAGCAAAATATCAGAACATTTTTCTGCTAGTTTTCTCAGAACTAACTTTGGTTTATTTAATGCTAGACATTCAGAGTGTTGCTTAAATCAGGGTTTTAATATGACGCTTCCCATGTGAGGGGATTTAAATGGCACCTAGCCTATATGTGGTCTTGTATAAAGACAGTTTATACTGTGGAAATGTCAAAATATTTTTAATATTTACTTCTTTCAAGCTACATAAAAAATCTCCTCATTAAACTACTGTACAGTTAGATGTATAATGTATTTAATCATTTGTTTGTTTCAATAAGTTTGTATAGTTTATATTTTTACTTTTTAATTTTAGTCTTTTTTTTATTATTTATACATTTCCCCACAGCGCTTAATAAATGTTAGATTTAAAGGTGCCCTAGAATGTGAAATTGAATTTATTTTGGCATGGTTAAATAACAAGAGTTCAGTACATGGACATGACATACAGTGAGTCTCAAACACCATTGTTTTATCCTTCTTACTTAAATCTCATTTTTGAAAAACAGGCAATTCTCCACATAACAGACTGAACTAGAGAGTGCAGAAACTGCGTTGCAATGATAAGATCTCAATCCTTGCGATCGACAGACTGTCCTCTGACTGCTCAATGCTCACAGCAACATTTTTATGTGATGGGAATAGATCTAAATACTTCAAAAACATCTCCCGATTTGTTAATTTCGATAGCTGTAATAGTAAAAACGTTTATTTAAGAGAGTTTCACATGTAATACATAGCTATTTCATTTGCAAGCATGTCAGCCAATCACAGCAGAGGCCGGCTAGCAGACACGCCCCTTCAAACAGAGCGTTCAAAGCAGAGGCTAAAATCAGGCTAGGAAAAATGCCTTTTATTTAGAAATTATGACTATTTTTGATCTAAAAAACATACTAACATTATAAGGGCAACCCAGGAAACATTATAAAACAATAAAAAAAAAAATATTTTAGGACAACATTAATAATTTTTTAATACAATTTTACAATTTTTATTCTGAGATAACACACGCACACACACACACACACACACACCTGAAGGGGTTTATTCTGAGATGACAACCGTCTGGATGTACATTATCCGCTTATTACACGGATATGGCCACATAAGTAAATAATTAGACACAAAAAATTGATGCGAGTTGAAAAATATTATTTTATCAGCTCTTTAAACGCAAAGCTTCCGCAGAGAGAGCAGTTTCAGCGGCGAGTTCAAACTAGACGAACATTTAATAGATACGCTACACAGTCATAACACTTATTACACAGCATTTCTCCACATGAATAATTATGGAGAAAAGAGATAGGGTCTGTATCTTATAATCCAACAGTGTACAAAACAATAGTCACACAATGGCAGCAGAGCGCTTGTGTGTGAAAGTCCGCGATACTGGATGACATCATTCAAAAAACTACTCAAAATATTGATTCGACTGAGTTTCAATATTTTAGTAGCTCACCAAACGCAAAACTTCCATGATTCCTAGCAAGCGTATAGCGCCGCTGACTAGCCTGTGTTTCTGTTATGTTAATAACACACCACTGGATGGCGCCATTGACCAATCAGAGTCAAGTATTCCACTGAGCCGTGTAAAAACTGGAGAATATGAAGCAGTTAGGGGGATTGTGGAGAGTAAAGTCAGAGAGTTAATGCCGCTCACATGCCGTCCCGGATCGGAACGGGCCGCCACAGTCACGAGGAGCTCCTGTGTGGTTGTTGAATGAAAGAGATCTCCTATTACATGCGACTGGAAAAGTGTCTCGAAGCTCACACATGCACATGTGGGGAAATTATCATTCTTTAGCAACAGGTCAAACGCACAGGATGTTGGTGGCCTAGCTGAGCATGGCAGGACAGCAGGACAATGACTACAAGTGGAGAGAGATCCATGGGTCTGTGTGTGTGTGTGTTACCCCACTGATGATATCAAGCAGGTGTTCATTGATGTTAAAGTTTAATCAAAAACCATTCAAAAGCTAAATTAGATCAGGTTTATTTAGAGAATTGAGCATCGTTCGGAGACTCATGTGATCTCGCACAAGTGGAGAAGTGTAATAGTGGATTTACTTGCTGCTTTTTTGTGATTTCAGAGCAAAGTTAGCGTCTCTCTTTGGACTGGATCAGACGGCAAACAAGGGAAATGAGTCTTTCCAGTACACGGCTCCCAAACAGCCCCGCAAGAGCTCGGCCAACTCCGGTAAGACTGCAGGAACCAAGTCGTATCATGAGGGATCAAATGTTTATTGTTTTTTTGGGGGAGAACTGATATTCTTAATTCAATATTGGCACAATGATGTTCTTAATTCTTAATTCAATATTAATGAACCACAAACTCTTTTTAGACTAGACTACATTCATTTAATGCCAGGATTCATTTGGTGATGACGCTGGGCTTTTTTATGAATAAAGCACAATTTACAACGAGCCTAATTTACATAGGAGCCGTGAATGTAACTGACATAAACACAATTTCAGTCCTGTGCCCGTTAAACTGGATTTGTTAAGACAATGATGTTTGCGCTGTGCAAAAGTGGCAAAAACGTGTTTAATTTCCCCATAATTGGACTGTATGAGGGGAAAAAAGTATGATGCTATTGCTTTAATGCAGACATGTTTTTACAGGACCCCCAAACCAAAAGTCAGCCCCTTCCCAGAATCCTCCTGCTGTTCTCTTTGCAACTGCAGTACATGCCTACAGATAGTAAGTTGAACAATTATTTTGTATGTATGTGTATATATATATATATACATTTGAAGAGTTCAGATGCAAAAGCCTCTAAGTGCCATTTGAAATTTTCTTCTAGAATGATGATTTTTATCAAGCTTGTATATTTAAGTTCAGTGATTTCACTTAAATGCCAATGATAATTACCTATTAATTGTTATTTAAGTGAAATTACTGAACTTAAATATACAAGTTTGATCAAAATCATCATTAAAGAAGAAAATTTCAAATGGCATTTAGAGGTTTTTGCATCTGAACTCTTCATATATTATGTATATTTGTTATTTAGCCTGTTAAGTGTTAGTTAACTGTTAATGCTTTTTTATTGCCCTTTTATACCTAAATAAGATATCATGCGAAAGCTTAAACACTCAAAATTCATTCTCTGCAAACCGTTTTGAAATTGCATGAAAACAGTACTTTAAAACGTTATAGCGGGTTTATTTTTTGTCATTTCAACATATCAAATTTGGAACCCAACTCGGTTCGATTTAGTGGGTATTTTAGAGGCTAAATCATTTTGTATAAAATGAAAACATTTACTTGACAGTAATCTTTTAATACTTTTTTACTTTTTTTTAGGTGCTTTCACTTTTGCAACAATGAATGTTTTTAAAAGAGACCTTGAATTACATCCATTTAAAGGGATAGTTCTCTCAAAAATGAACTCTGCAATCATTTACTCCCCCACACGTCGTTCCAAACCCGTAAGGTTTTCGTTCATCTTTGAAACGCAAATGAAGATCTTTGAATGAAATCTGAAAGTTTTCTGTCCCTCCATTGACAGCTATGCAACTACAACTTTTGTGACTTTAAAAAGTGAGTAAAGATTTCGTATCCATACTAATCGAGCCATGTTTTTTTGAAGAGACGGGGATCGCTTTATGTTATGAACAGATTTAATTTAGGCTTTTATTCACACATTCATCAAGTCACACATCAGTTCTGGTCAACAGAAGTGCATTTGAGCTTCAGCACGAGGTTTGTTCTCGTGCGTTAAGTGGGCTGTTTATGTTTGCTGATCAATGTTTACATGTGAATAAAAGCTCAGGAAATGTGGACTAAACCGCTCTATCTACGGATTAGTTTTACAATCTCTTTACTAACTTTTTGAAGTGTCAAAGTGGTAGTTGCGTGTTCTGTCAATCTCTTAGATTTCACTTATATCTTCATTGGAAAGTGAGAGTTTTACGGTTTTGGAATGACATGAGGATGAGTTAATGATGACAAAATCTTCATTTTTAGGTGAACTATTGGTGCGTTCATGTGATATGGTAATTATGGTAAATACCAAAAGAACACCCCCTCATGTGGTATTTTCCACTGGGAAGCTCGTCGAATATTTTGATGCGCGAGTTGCCGAGATGATGAGATGACCTTTGACCTTTTCAAAATGGCGGAGAGCGACGCGACAGTCGTACCATTCATGATCTAGAAAATATAAAGCATATTATTTACCGTTAGAGTTTTGATAAATCATCTTCTAGCTGTAGCAGATGACTTAAAGGAGTAGTTCACTTTTAAAAAATACTTTTGCTGATACCCCCATGTCATCCAAGATGTTCATGTCTTTCTTTCTGCAGTCGAAAAGAAATTAAGGTTTTTGATGAAAACATTCCATAATTTTTCTCCATATAATGGACTTCAATGGGGTCCAAACGGTTCAAGGTCCAAATGAGAGTTTCAGTGCAAACTGTTCAAAGGGCTTTAAACGATTCCAGACGATAAATAAGGGTCTAATCAAGCGAAACGATCGCTCATTTAAAAAATAAATAACAAAGTTTAAATTTTATAAGCTCAAATGCTCGCCTTGCTCTGTTCTGTGATGCGCGTTCGTGACTCTCCTGTTCGAACTCGTTCTTTAAAATTAAGAGTCAATCCGTTCGTTTCCAGAGTCAATCCGTTCGTTTCGTTCGTTGAATGAACCAAATGACTCGGAAAAAGATTCGTTCACGAGTTCAAACAGGAGAGTCACGAACGCGCATCACAGAACAGAGCAAATAAAACTTAAAACATTTGAGCTTATAAAACTTAAACTTTGTTATTCATTTATTAAATGAGCGCTCATTTCGCTTGATAAGACCCTTATTCATCGTCTGGAATCGTTTAAAGCCCTTTGAACAGTTTGCAGTTTGCATTGAAACTGTCTTTTGGACCTTGAACCGTTTGGACCCCATTGAAGTCCATTATATGGAGAAAATCCTGGAATGTTTTCATCAAAAACCTTCATTTCTTTTCGACTGAAGAAAGAAAGACATGGACATCTTGGATGTCATGGGGGTGAGTAAATTATCAGCAAAAGTTTTTTTTAAAAGTGAACTACTCCTTTAAGCAATCTAAAATAGTTTTAGCTAAATAACAGGTCTGGATCTCCATCTTTTTACCACATTACGACAACAAAAGCACTTGAACGCAACACACTGGCAAATACCAGTTCACAAGTGGAAATAGCACATGAATGCACCATAGTCTTTAACTTCAGATCTCAGAAAGGGGGGGTGATACCCTAGTTAACAGATTAATTTTAAGTGTAAAGACAAAGAGTAGGGGATGAAATAGATATATATATACAGATCTGTAAACCAGATATCCAAAGCAAAGTACATGCTAGAATTTACATATAAAGAGCGCTGATTGTCTGGGATTTAGTTTGCAGACTGATGTAATGCAGTGATCACTGTTTTTGTGTGTTTAGTGTTAACGGCCAGTATGTGAAGCAAGGCAAGCTGGGAGCTGCGGTCCTCGGAAATCACACAACTAAAGAGGTTCGAATGATCACTTTTTTTGCACTGAGTCTTAAATGAGGACGTTTATACGTAACGCACACAAACGTCTGAACTCTTCTTTAGTACAAGATCCTGCTGTATGTCAGTCAACAGAAACCGGTGACGGCCGCCAGGATCCACAGAGGCTTCATCCTCACTGTGAGCTCTTATTCACATCATGAACAGCATGTTTGCTTCCCGGACGTTGTTTGTAATGATCTCCTTCACTTTCAGGTCCAGCCCAGTAACTACTGCACGTTTTATGATGACCAGAGACAGAACTGGTCACTGATGTTTGAATCGGAGAAAGCAGCCACAGACTTTTCTAAAGAGGTTTGTGTTTTATGGGTTCGGCTTGATAGATTGTAAAAAGGCATTTCTAAGTGAGGCTATTTTTTAAATGTGGCTTTATTAAAGGTGGAAATTTTCTAAAAAAAAACCTTTTCTCAAATTTGTTTAAACTGTCTATGTATTACCAATACATAATTCAGTCAAATGTTATATAACAAAGAGAAATTCAGAAATCATTCTAATATGACGATTTGAGGATTTCAACAAACATTTATGACAATTATCAATGTTGGAAACAGTTCATATCTTTGTGGAAACCGTCATGCATTTAATTTTTCTGGATTCTTTGATGAATAGAAAGTTCAAAAGAACAGCATTTATTTGAAATGGAATCTTGTGTTACATTATAAATGTCTTTAATTTTGTTTTTAGGTTTGTGTTTTATGGGTTCTTCGTCAACTGGTATTGTGTGAGGAGATTTTTTACGAAGCAATGTCATTGTTTCAGGTTTGTCTCGCTAAAGTGAACTGTGGCGGCCCGCTAGACTCTGTCCTGACCCAGGATCTTCTTCTCGGCGAGGGCCAGGCTGTGGAGAACGGAGACTCGTTGGAAGTGGCCTACACCGGCTGGCTGCTGCAAAACCACACCATCGGACAGGTAAAGCGGTGTTATTGAAGGAATAGTTCACTTTTGAAAAAACGTTATTCTTTCTTCAGTCGAAAAAAAATTAAGGTTTTTGATGAAAACATTCCAGCATTTTTCTCCAAATAATGGACTTCAATGGGGACCAAACGGTTCAAGGTCCAAAAGACAGTTTTAGTACAAACTGCAAACTGTTCAAAGGGCTTTAAACGATACCAGACGATGAATAAGGGTCTTATCAAGCGAAACGATCGCTCATTTGAAAAACAAAAAAACTAAGTTTAAGTTCTATAAGCTCAAATGTTCGCCTTGCTCTGTACGGTGATGCAGGTTCGTGACTCTCCTGTTCAAACTTGTTCATCAGAATGAACGAATCTTTTCGTCTGTTGAATGAACCAAATGACTCGATCATTTTGATGAACGAGTTCGAACAGGAGAGTCACGAACGCGCATCACAGAACAGAGCAAGGCGAGCATTTGAGCTTATAAAACTTAAACTTTGTTTTTTATTTATTAAATAAGCGATCGTTAAGACCCTTATTCTTCGTCTGGAATCGTTTAAAGCCCTTTGAACAGTTTACAGTTTGCACTGAAAGTGTCATTTGGACCTTGAACCGTTTGGACCCCACTGAAGTCCATTATATGGAGAAATATCCTGGAATGTTTTCATCAAAAACCTTAATTTCTTTTCGACTGAAGAAAGAAAGACATGGGGGCGAGTAAATTATCAGCAAAAGTTTTTTGAAAAGTGAACCACTCCGTAGTTCACTTTAAAAAAACTTTTGCTGATAATTTCGCTCTTCATTTGCATAAAGTTAAACCGATCTCAACTTTGTCTCGTCGCCAGACACGCCCCACCGGTCACTGTCGCCCGCTCCCCATTGAAATGAATGGTATCGTGTCGCTTTGTCGTCTGTAGTGTGAACACCGCTTACATAAGTGTACTACATGTGAAACATAATTGTAATATGACCTAAATATGATTAACATTTTGGTTAATGTAAACATGGTTTGAATGAGAATTAGAGGAAAACTAGCTTAAGTTTGGTACTGGTTACATAAAAAAGAGGCTTGTATACTTGCAAAGGTTTTATTTGTTTGATCAAAAATACGGTAAAATTATGAAATATTATTACAATATTTAAAATAATAATTTTGTTTGAATATGTAATTTATTCCTGTGATATAGCTGAATTTTCAGCATCATTACTCCGGCCTTCAGTGTCATATGATCCCTTAGAAATCATTTCTGATTATTATCATTGTAAACACCATTAATTATTTCATGATTTTTTTTTTTATGAATAGAAAGTAAAAAAAAGCATAGCATAACTTTGAAAGAGAAATATTTTACATGATGAATTGCTGTCACTTCTGATCAATGTAATGTGTCCTTGCAAAAATAATACTTTATCCGTTGATCATTTTTTTTGTCACCCAAATTCTTTCTGCATATTTTCCTCTCCTCCAGATGTTTGACTCAAATCTGAATAAAGACAAACTGCTGCGGCTGAAGCTCGGGGCTGGGAAGGTGGTTAAGGTGAGAGGGACGTTGTCTCTAACCTGTGATTATCACTCATACGGCAGTCTGAAGCGGTTCTCTCGTCTCAGGGCTGGGAGGAGGGCATGTTGAGCATGCGGAAAGGTGGAAGGCGACTGATGGTGATTCCTCCCGGTCTCGCGTACGGATCACAGGGCGTTGCCAACCGCGGTGCCACCGGATAGCACGCTAGTCTTCGAAGCGGAGATCCGTCGGGTACGCCATTCTCACACTTACTTTATCATGTTTGATTAACCCTCAGGTGCTCTTCGGTCATTTCTGACCGAAAAAATTTCTGTTTTGAATTTTTAAAAATCACAGCTTCATCAGAATGTTACGAAACTTGGTGACTTCTATGGCATTATGTATGTGAACACACAAAAAAAATGAGATCATGATCTGAGCATGCTAAGTGGTCTTAAAAAAATAGTCACACTTGTGGTCTTTGGTCAAAAATGACCCCCATAGGAAATGAATGGGAAATTGACAAAAACACAAAAATTCACTAATTTTTATTTATTTTTTTCATTTTTTTAATAAAAAATCGTTTTTGAGATTGTTTCAACTATATATTCAAATCCACCAAAAAAAAAAAAAAAATGTGTTCATAAACATCTGGTGAATTCACATGCCTCTCCATAGAGAGCTGTACATGCCATCTAGTGGTTACACCATGATTCTAGGCTTTTTCTCTATACTGTAACCAGATGGTGCTAATTTTCTTCAAATAATATTTTTTTTTCTGAAGGCCTAGAGTCTATATTAAACTAAAATACTGCATTAATAATTTTTTGAAAAAAAAAAATATATATATATTTATAGAAAAAAAAAAAATTTCCATGGCAAAAATAGACCATAAATATTGCATAAATATTAATAAATTCAATCAAATTGTCTCAAAATACTAAATTACAAAGAATAAATATTATAGAACAAAAATAAATTGTATTGGTTTTACTGGGATGGAGGAAATTAAATTTTTAGGTGTCCGGTCACTTTTGACCGGGAAGATAACAAGTGTGACTCCGAAACGAAGAGCACCTGAGGGTTAAGTTGTTTTTAAGATGATTCAGGTTTTTATGATGTGTTCCAATGTCTTAAAGAGGACCTATTCTGCCCCTTTTCAAAGTTTTTGATTGTTTTGGGACTCTACTAGAACATGTTTTCATGCTTGATTGTTCAAAAACCACATTAATCTCCATTGTTGCAGCACCTCTCTTCCCAGTCTGTCAGTAACTCAGCTCAGGACTGTGTTTCTCGTACAACGACGTAAAGGGATAGTTCACTTTGAAATTAATTTTTGGTATGTTTTATCTTACCTCAAGGGCATCCAAGATGTAGGTGTCTTTGTTTCGACAGCATTTTCAATTTTGACATTTTTAGGTCAAACCGTTCTTGTCTGTCAGTCATATAATGGAGGTCTATGGTCACCACCTCAAAGAGCATGCACAGAGAAGTCCAAATTAAACATGATTTAATGACTCGTAAATGTAAGTACACATTGATGGCCTAAGACACGAAACGAGCGGTTTGTGTGAGAAAACGAACAGTATTTATATCGTTTTTACCTCGTGTAACCACCAGTTTAACACACTACTGACTAACTCAACCAGGCCCCACCCCTTTATTCTGCGCATGAATTATTATAATGAGGAATATTGTGATGTGTTCGTTCCCGGAAGAAACTCAAGATACAATGGAGGCGTTTAGGGAGTTCAGAAACACTGAAATAGAGAACAGACTTTGCAGCATTGTAGAAATATGCACAGGCCTGCTCTCTTCATACGTGTTCTCTCTTGATGCGTGTCCAGGTTAAGTTTGCAAAGGATGGAAACTCGAGAGATTCGGTGTCTCCTGCTCCCAGTGTTGAGAGTCTGGGCTCCTCTGAGCCGAATCAGTCCCTCGGTCCTGCTCCACAAACCAGCAAACCCAGGTGAGAAGAACCCACATCTCAGACTGGCTCCTTCGTTAGGGTATTTTAAACGAAACCTCAAATTACATGTACTTAATTGGCAAGAGGCTCTAAATAGATCAGTTATTGTGTGTTGCTTTTTGTTAATGTAATTTTCATTATGTGATTGTGCAGCATTACTACATCAGTTCATGTCAAATGCAATATTTACAGATTCTTCTCGCCTTTTAATAAAATGGCAAAAGACACAAAAAAACATGTAGATATCAATCAAGTCAATATTGGACATCATTGGACACAATTTTGGACATGTACTGTATTTTTAATTGTTCAAGCTGATTTTTCCTATTTTTATATTTTTGACCATCTATCATTAGACACTATTGTTTTTTTTTTTTGGTTATTTTTTATTTTTTTACAGAGGAAATACTTTTATTGAGCAAGCATGCATTAATTTGTTTTAAAAAATCATATTTCAAATAAAATGGTCAACATTACGTTTTTTTTTTTTTTTTGGCTGTATAAATAAATTAATGAAATATTTATAATATTTAATGTTTATAATATTTAATACTATTTATAATATTTAATATAATGAAAATATATTTAATATTTAATATTGAATAATATTTTATAATATTTAATTTTCAATCTGTGTTTCTTCTTTGTTTTCAGTGAACCGCCTCTTCGAGCAAAATCAAACTCCCTCAGTGAACAGCTGAGTGTAAGTTTGCTTCCTGTCAGGTGTATCACAGATTTAGTTTAGCATAGCTGGAGCTGGGGTTTAGTGGTTAGTGCACAAGACACATTGAGCTTGAAGTCTTCATATGGGAATTTCAAGTTCTTATCAAGCGTACAACATTTCCAGATTCTCCCCCCTTTCAATAAAATAGCAAAATATATAATATATAGGTATGCACAATATCAAACAAGTCAATATTGGATACATACTTTATCCAATTATTAATACTTGAATAAAATTAGAATGATTTCTGAATGATCATGTGATGTAACGATGCTGAAAATTCAGCTTTGATCACGGGAATAAATGACATGTTACTATAAATTCACATAGAAAACAGCTATTTTAATTTAATATTTCACAATATTGCTCTTTTACTGTATTTTTGGATCAAATAAATGCAGTCTTTGTGCACATAAGAGACTCAAAAACATTTTAAAATATTACCAACCCTAAATTTTGGAGTTGTAGTGTAAGTTAATTTTTAATATTACACTTATCATTTATTAACACTGTTAAATATATAATTTAGCAAATCTCCGAATGAATATCCATAGTTCATAGTTGTCAGTTTTGTTGTTTAGGTTGAAATTAATTTGTATAGACTTTTTTTTATAGGTAATCAGAAAAGAATTGTCGAGTAGAATTTGAATATTAATGCATCTCTAATAATAAACCTATCTTTGTGTGTTTTCTGACATGTTTTGTAATGTCTTCAGAATCCTGATGCCACTAAAGCTAAACTGATCTCACGCATGGCCAAAATGGGCCAGCCGATGCTGCCCTTCATCGCGGGCTCATCTTCCTCTCCCTCACAGCCGGACTCCAGCGACTCCGAACTCGAGGCAAGACTGAGCGTTTCATTATAATGCTTTTACACCGTCTTCTATTCAGACACAGTGGCAAACGAAAAATATCTTAACCTTCATCCTTCCCTCACGCTCCGTAACAAAATCCTTCCCTCGCGGGTCAAAATGACCCGAAGCCCTAAAATTATACTTTTTTTTGTCCATCAAGCTTATTTTATTTAATTTTGATTCGATTTTTTTTCTATTTTATAATGCATTTTTTAAAATTTAATTTACCTTTAAATGACTAGATAAATAAAAAATAAATAGTAATTTAAGCACATTCCTCACATTCTTTCAACCTTAATTCAAAATTTCATGCATAACCCTTTTAATTCAGCTCAAAATATCTTACGTTGGGTGTCTTTGCTATGGATGCTCGTTTCCGCCACTGAATAAAAATAAATAAATAAATAATTGCAACTTTTTATCTCACAATTGCGAGATATGAAGTCAGAATTGTGAGAAATACAGTCACAATTCTGAGAAATAAAGTCGCAATTGTGAGAAAAAAAGACAGAATTGCGACTTTTTATCTCACAATTCTGACTTTATAACACATAATTGAGAATTTATATCCCGAAATTCTGACATCTTTTCTCAGAATTATAAGATATAAACTCGCAATTGCGAGTTATCAGGCCAATTCTAAGGGGAAAAAAAGTATGGTTTTTACCCCCTCAGAATAGTTTATATCTCACATTTCTGACTTTATGACACGCAATTGCGACTTTACAACTTGCAATTTCAACTTAATATCATGCATTTCTGACTTTATAACACGCAATTGCAACTTTACAACACGCAATTTTAACTTAATATGCATTTCAGACTTTATGACACGCAATTGCGACTTTATATCTTGCAATTCTGTCTTTACAACTTGCAATTCTGACTTTATATCACGCAATTCTGACTTTATATCAATCAATTTTGACTTTATATTCTCGCAATTCTGACTTTATATCTCGCAATTCTGACTTTATATCTCGCAATTCTGACTTTATAACACGCAATTGCGACTTTATATCTCGCAATTCTGACTTTAAATCTCGCAATTCTGACTTTATAACACGCAATTGCGACTTTATATCACGCAATTCTGACTTTATATCACAATTCTGACTTTATATCTCGTAATTCTGAAAAATAAAGTCAGAATTGTGAGATGTAAACTGTGAGATAAAAAGTCGCAATTATCTTTTTTATTTTTCAGTGGCAGAAACAAGCTTCCAAACTTTGCTGACCTCTTGTGGAAAAAAAATAAATAAATAACTTGATATTTCATGACTCTTGCCACTCGATGGGTTTATAGCTCTATATGGAGGAACGAGGTGTTTCCGCTGGGTCCTAAAGTCAGTTCGTCAGCATTCAAATACACACGTAGACATTATAAAATAATGTTTCGGTGTAGGTTTAGCATTTTTAGTTTGAATTTTAAGCATTTTTAGGTTTTTATATGTGTATTGAACCATTCCTCGCATTCATTCCTAAGGAGGTCAAATTGACCCACAAGGGAAGAATATGTGATTTTTTTTTTTTTCAATTTCAATCACAAAACTCCTTGAATCCATTAACTTTTTTTTAAAGTTTTTGTGTATTTGTGGTTCAAGTACGACAAAAGTCCTGGGGTCTAGGACCCCTCCGATGAACACTCAATTTTGAAACAAAATATTATCCGGGTGCGATTAGCTCCAAAGTGACCCGAGGGAAG